AGACGAGCCCTGGGCAGTACTGTGACATACAGTTTACATAGATGATTAGCTCTGGGGGGGGAAAAAAAAAAAGAAACTTGTGTCAATTAGTTTTGAAGTGGAGCAGAGGAGTAGGTGGTCATTGCTCGCCATCCTAAATTGAGACATCCCTTGTTGTTTATCTGTTTTATCTTTTCTTGTGGCTAATTTGCATATGGATGATGTAGACTTTGGGAGGACTTTGAATATTAATTTTGAATAAAAAGCTCTGCTCAGCCTGAGTAATGAGTTCTCTTTGATCTTCTGCAAGGGAATTTTAATCGACCAAGACCTTGCCTTTTGACACCTTTTTTGTGATCTACCTGATTTCCCCTGAGAGTCCCAGGCCAAATGGACAGGCTACAAAGCCAAACAGGGCACAAGGATCTAGAAACTCATAAAGAACTGGTGGAACAGAGTTAAAAAAAAAAAAAACCAAAAAGCAAAAAACAAAAAACAAAAGGCAGTTCAGATAAAAACATTGATAGCTAATGTCTGAGCTGCTTGTGTCAGTCTAATTATTTTTTTTTTTTTGGCAAAATTGTAACACCGTTAGCTATGTGAATAACAAAATCATTCTTCATGCAGGTTTTGTTCATGTGTTTAATTTTTTACAAATGCAAAAAACGAATTATACCCTCACACCAAAAATTGGAGGAAAAAAAAATGAAGAAAAAGTAGGTTTAGGGAAAATAACTTCTTTGATTAACACACAATCTTTGAACCAAGTATCATGAAAACACACCAAGTGAAAATATGAAATAGAACGTTAAGAAATGGAGAACTGGAGAACTGGTTCTCTCCAGAAAGAGTTAAATATTTGGTTTTAGAGAAGAGAAATGGATGTCAAATCATTGAAAGGAAGAAAAAGGGGACTGAAATGCTGTTAAACTTCAGACGAAGCCAGTAAACAAGAAGGGAGGAAAGATCTAAAAAATTGAATTAGGAAGAGTGATACTTAGAAATGGAAATATAAAAGTGGCTCGTGGCAAGAATCCTATGTAGGTATATAAGGGTTAGAGATGAAAAAGAAATGGAAGGGTTCAGATGAAGATATTAAATGTCAAACTGAGACTCTCAGAAGTATAGATCAGAAGGGACCACTAATAGAAGCAAAAAATGGAGACACTTGAAAGCAGAGGAATATGTGTTCTATTACCAATTCTCTCAGACATCCAAGGACTGCTACAAAAATCACAGCTCACCTGGCCTCTGTTTCTTCATCTGTAAAATGAAGCTACAATTCATCTGGATTAGTTTAGAACCATAGACTTGTGAAACCCTTAGATTTGGAAGGGACCTCTGAAGGCCATCTAGTCCAGCTCCCCCGCAATGAACAGGAACATCCATAGCTAGACCAAGTTGTCCATTTCTATAACTATTTTTAAAGCTTTTAGGAGAGCTGGATGAAAATATTAGCAAATCAGGGGAGAAAAAAAAAATACAGACACGCTGAAAATTCTGCACTAAATGAAGCAAGAATTTGGGAAGGCCCCTAAATACAGCAACACAGAAATTAGGGCCTGAGATCACTAGTACAAATACCAAGAGAGTGACAGCAGCTGATACATGAGGTGCTTCAAAAATACCGCCTGCAAGAGGCAATATCAGGAAAGGGCTCAGATTTGACTGATTTCCCTCAGTGTTCATCAGGAACAAGGCTAAGAATGTGAGCAGGAGATGGGATGTTGTGAAAGCACCGGTAGACATGGCTTTCAAGAGAAACGCTGAGAAGTATAGCATGGCATTTTAAAAACTGTGGGAAATTATCTTTTCACTGAAACAGGCTGAGAAGTCAGGATGGCACTCGTTCACTTGATTGACTGCTGAAATTTGTAATTCAGCTCTTCTGCAGCTCACAGTGAGCAGAGGTGACACCGTTGTAAAAAAGCTGTCAGGGCACTGCTTGTTTCACTGCCCCATCCTCACACCAAAGCGGCTTTAGGTAAAGGCCACAGTCACAGCTGTAAGAAAGAGAACGTATCTCAGGAGAGCGGGCTGGCCTAGAAAGAATGGCAATGAACTACACAAAAACTATAATCTGTATGAAGGTGTAGAAGAACAGTGTACAGAACCAGGCTGCCAGGCACTGGGCTATTCTCTTCTCAGCTGTGGCAATGATTTTTCTATTGTTAATGAAGGGATCAATGAAAAATAGGCTGTTGCTCCTCAGATCGCAAATATTTCATGGACGGTTGGACTGGATGATCTTGGAGGTCTTTTCCAATCTTGGTGATTTTATAATTTCAATTAGAATAGATTTCTTTGCTCGTGTACTGATGAATTTGGGTTCAGTTTTTCAAGAAAGGAAACTGCAAAGTAGGCATATTAAAATATCTAAAAGCAAATACTGATTTCCTTCTTTAAATACGAAAGATTAGCTCTGTCAGCAGCACCATTCAGTTCCCAACAAGAATTTTGCCAAGTCCTCCTTTAGTGACTGTCTCCTAAAATTGTAAGAATTAGTAATAAATACATGGGAAAAAAAAAAATCGGAAATAATGAAATATTTCTTAAAAATTTCAAAAACACACCCAATTTTCTCATTACTTACCTCAGGAGTGACTCAGTGGATGGTTTTGATTATATCAAATATAGTTCCCTTATTTTTTTCCCCCTTTTTTTCTCTTAATATTTTGGCCTTGTTTTAAAGTTACTTATATTCTTATAGTTTCGTATTCGCAGTTCATATCACAAGAAGGAACTTAGGGTTTCTGCAACTGATTCTTTCCCACAGCACAGTAATATTACCTAACTATAGCATGACGTAGAAAAGCATTCAGGAAAAAGTTGTCTGAAAAGAACATCTGAAGTTTTCGAGAACCTGCTTTCTGTAGAGAAGGCTCTTAGTTCTAAGTGTTGTGCTGTCTAAAACAATATTCCACCTCACTCTCTAGTAGATGCAACTGCAGCCGTATGAAGCTAGTAGTATCTTGAAGGTTTATTCAGGCAATGTAGAAAAATCTCTCACTCAGAACTGTATGCTCATTCTAAAACTACCAACATCTACATAGCTTACCACTTCCCTTTTCACTGTTAGCATTCAGGACATAAGGAGTCTGTGCTTCCCCTGTTAACAAGCGCCTGCAATGGCAACAAGCTTCAAAACAGATTTCACAGATACACTGTTCGGGGATAAATGTGACTACAGTCTCAGTACCTATCAAGGGATATTTGGTCTCCTAAATAATTTTGAAACTGTGGTGTTCAGATACAAAGGGCTTTGATAAAGAAATGATTGTAGTGACTGCATTTGAGCTTGCTGTCTTAAAATGAAATAGGAGGCAGGAGAAAGTCACACGCTTTGTAAAGATTTGTAATCCTGATGAGTTGTACATTGTTTAAAACAAGCTCCACAATTTACCTTCAAAGTTCAGACCGAGTTACTAAATTCTTCCTGTTGTTTTCCCCTGTGAGTGTTGCAGCACTCTGATTACTTTCCTCCATCATCCGCTAATGATGGTATCTCCAACCTCTTGACTTACTAATCCTCACCGAGCTATGGCTGCAGCTCTTGTAAACTGAACCCACTTATTGAGATCGCATCAGGCTCTCTCATACAGATCAGCACTTCACACTGAGTGCTCTCAGAAGGAAACAGAGAGCCTCCTTATCTGCACTATGAGAGGTCTGTACAGAGTTGAATAGTAAAGGACATTCAAAACTACTAAAGGGAAACAATTCATAGAATCACAGAATGGCTCAAGTTGGAAGGGACATCAAAGCCCACCCAGTCTCACGCCCCTGCCATGGGCAGGGCTGTCCTTCACCAGCTCAGGCTGCCCAGGGCCCCATCCAGACTGGCCTTGATTGTCTGGGCATCCCTAAACTTTTCCTTAAATTTGCCTTTAGCAGGAGAAAGATGCAGATTGAGATTTTTGGCTACAGATTACATTGCTTGAAACACACACATGAAGAGATTTAAGTGTACTGCGATTTGCTCATCTTCAAACTTCGTTAATGCCAACAGCACATGTGTTAATGGTACCTTCAACAGTCAACTGAGTTGGTGCACCAAACCCTATAGAAGGGCCTCCAAGTTATGTAGGGCTGCGCAAGTATGAAGACTAGCTTAGGTGTTTGGTTTTGTTATCAAGTACAGTAAACACAGTGACAGTTTAATACATCTTGAATGCAGATACTGCAGAAGCTGACTTTATTCCTGTTATGTAGTAATACATGGAGCTGTATAGAAGGGCTCGTATCAAATATAAGTATCAGAAAGGCTGAGAGGACTGAGAAGAACGGCTTTCCTCAGTGACCAGTTCAAAGCACAAGTAGGGCTGTATTTGTGTTTTGATGCGTTGATAAATGCTTGTGCCACTGGTGTGTGTCCGCACGTGAGCAGCTTTAAGAAAGAAAAGCTGCTAAATTTCTATTGTTCGTCGCTCAAAAATAAATCAGGCTAGAATTCTTGAACAGAGACAAGAAAATTTGGTTTAAAAAAGCCCTTAGTTCTCAGAAGTCGGGCATTTATTTTTTGTGTTACTCAATGTCTTTAAGTATCTAAAGCATCACGCTCACTTATTCCTGTTACACTGCCGGTGACACCAAAGGCACGGGTGAAATTAGCGAGGCGAGGAAGCGCTAATCTCTTTCTAAGAACGAATTCTCAGTAGCACCAGCTTACTCTTAGGGCACCCAACAACTCAAGGAATTGCTTCTGCCCCTGCTGTACCTTCTACAGTTACCACGTTAAAGATTCAAGTAATTTCTTCTTCACCCCGCCCTCCCCTTCCCCACCAAAGCTTATGGCTTTTGGTCGAAAACTTCAGCTCACGGTGCTTTTTCATCACTTTAAATCATTCCCTCCCGCCGTTACTACGGCGACAGCGCGGCTCGTGAGCGACCATAGACACGCCCGCCGCGGCCTAGAAAGGCGCTGCTCGCGGCCTGTCCCCCTCCGGGCCGCCGTATTTCCGGCCAGGCACTTCCGGTTGCTGCTGGTCCCGGAGGAGGAGGAGGAATACAGTCGCAGCGGGGGCTGCGCCGCCCGGCCCAGCGCGGCCTCCTGCGCCCTCCGCCCCGTGACGCCCCCGGGGTGGCAGCGGCTACGCTGGCGGAGGTGAGGGCCGGGCCGGGGCTGTGGCGGGCGTTAGGTCCCGGTTTGGGGTAGGGCCGAGCCGCGCCCGCCGGCCTACGCATCGCATTGCGGTCCCTGCGGGAAGGCGGCCGGGCCTGAGGCCTCTTCCTGGTTACTCCGAAAGGCCCCGGTGTGTGGCGCGGGTCCGGAGCTAGCTGCGGGCGGGCTGCCTGCCTCCCTCCCTTCCTCCACAATGCTGGCCGGGCACCGTGCGGGGCCGTGCCCAGGAAGAGGTGGAGTTGAGGAGGGAGCTGGGAGCTCGTTCGCTGGTGGAGGGAAAGACTGCTGGGTGCTGCGTCCGTGTCGTGCTCCTCGGACGTGTTCTGTGCCCAGGCAGTTGGGGCTGTAAGTGTGCCTGTATGTCTGGTGCAGCTGGTTGCCTGTTCTCAAGTCACTGGTAAAATGTGGAAGCTGTGTGGTGTCGTCTGATAAATGGGTATTGTGCTGCGCGTTGTTTGCAAACAATATGTAGTTCTGGTGTTGCTTGGGTTATGTCTCTGACGTTCTGTTTTTGCATCAGACCATCTCACAGCCTTCCTTCTTGCCTTCTCTGACCTCGGTGCGTGGTCAGTATCTGACGTGTTTTTTCTGTGCTTGGTGGGACTGCTAACAAGGATCTGTTATCAGCTTTATCTCTGTATAAAGAGATAACAGAAATGTTCTTCTGCTATGCTGGGAACTGTGTTGTGTGGTCAGAGCAACTCCAAACTGAGCAGTTTCTGATTCACATATATGTGTCTTGGTATGTGTGTGCGTACACAACTAGAATGTGAGGCACTGATTAGGTACAGAGGAATGTTAGGTAGGAAGAATTATGTTGAGACATTATGTTAGTCTCAGGGTTCTCTATGTTTTGGTAGAAGTTCAGACCATTATAGGAACCCATGGCTTAGGTGATCGGGAGTGGAGCATGGCTTGACCTAGAGCTGGCAGTGTGTTAGCTGCTTGCAGTACTCAGTCTGCATCTCCACAGTGTTCTATGACTCTCAAACATGACTAGCTTTTGTAGGAGGAGCAGTAGTGGAACTGCAAGAGTGCAAAGAGGAAACTATATTGTGGTTGCAGCAGAAAGTGTTTACTGCATTCTTAATTCCTTAAAAGAAGCAAAACTAAGAATTAGTGGTGATGTCCTTAGTTATAAGTCGAAAGTAAGGAAACATGCTTGACTTCGTTATTTTCTATTTGTCTTTGCATTTTCTGTAGTGTTTCAGCAACTCTTATTTCACCAGATGTGGAACCAGTAATAAGACGGTAAGTGCAGTAAACTTCAACGGGACAGAAGACTTTCATCTTATTGGCAATTCATTTATTAACAAATAAATGTAAGTGAAGGAGCCAGCCAGTGCATCCAGCTTAGGAAAGCAAATGTAAGTGTTGAGAATCCTGTGGTGCTCATTTCTAAGACCGTAAGAGTTACCAATTAAGTAATGTAAACTACATTAAGAATAAAGTCCTTTTTCAAATTTGGTTTATTGCTGATAACGTGCTTTGTTTGTACTTGCTCTTAATCCATAAGTGTGCCCATATAACTGCTAATTATAATTGGTTACGTGTTCTGGAGGATGCTTAGGGTGTTGTTTTTAAGCTCTCACGTGGTTAACTTCTGCCAGCTGAAGAAATGATATGTTAAAATGTCTGGTTTTGTGCCATTCTGGGATACTCAGTGTGGTTGCTGGAATTCCAAAGCGTGTGTTTAGTGCATGTGTTGTGCCTGTGTTTTGGGCTTGTTACTGCCACCCAGCCTTCTCTTTCAAGGCAAACAATGCCCATTTTTCAGTGCTCTCTGTAGTTATGGGGACAACTTCCGTCAGCAGGAGAGAGGTGATGTAAATTTCTGTTTGCTTTGGGCAGGCTCATTGACTTACTTGGAACAAGGTTTTTTTGCTTCTTGCAAAACAAGTTTTTCATTTCATGTGATTTTTGAAGTAAATGTTTAAAGTTTAAACCTGAGTTTCTTTTGTGCGGTCTTGGGCTCTGGTGGGTGGTGCAAGTATTACAGCTTTGAGTTGTCTTTTTCCCCACAGCTCTGCACTCTGTGTTTGCAAGCTGCTCTCACGGTTTGGCTCCTGTTATTGCAGGGTGGAGGTGAGCGGCTCAGTGATGTTTGCAGCAACACTTGGCTGTGAATGAAACCTTACACAAAAAAGTGGTCAAGTGACAGAATCATACAATGCTCTGATGGAGTCAGAAGGGTTCTGAGCATACTCAAATGTTCCAGCTGTCTCAGTAACAAGTTGGTCATATATGGACAGAAAGAATAAGAAAGATTTGATTATGTGTTAACTATAGGCCAGAGAAAAGGAAATGTGGACAGATTGGATGACTGTGCTTTGCATCTTCAAGCTGCTGAGGGCAGGTCTGGCATGTTTCATGGCTCGATCATCTGCACTCTTCTGCCTTAGCTGTGAGATAGAAGATGCTATTTAGGGTACTATGAGTACCGTTGTAAAAGATGAGTTGTTATGTTGTGAGTGTTCTGACTGCTTTCAGGAAAGCAGTGCTACGTAAACTTGGGGGAGGAGGGAGGAGGGAGGAGTGTAGCATAGCAAATAAATTTTAAAAGCTTTAAATGTCTTTTTGTTTTTACACAGTATCTCTGCACGGATTTGTGAGGTTTGTGCCCCTAGGTTCTTTTAATTATCAAGACTTTTCTTGCTGCATATCTCATTTAATAACCTTAATTAGCCAGCCCTGCTGTATGGCTTTTTGTACTAGCAGTTTTTTTTCAAATTGATTTGAATACAAGTATTAGTAGGTAGGAGGGAAATCCAACCTCATTCAGTGGTAGCCCTGAGTGAATTGCAGCCTTTCTGGAGGAGTTCTCTTACTTAACCTTGTTTTTACAAAGCCAGCTGGGACGTTATTTAGTGTAATAGGAGCTAGGTGGTTCGGTTTCTCATTCTCTGTGCCCTTATTTTAGTTCCCCTGTTGCACAGGATGCTTACTTTGCTAACTATTTGTTATAATTAGTATGTTTTATACCTTGGAAAATTGAAATAGGATATGAATAGTGATCATTCTCAGATTTTTTTCTGATCTGGTGCATGACTAAATCTGTACAGAGTGGTGCAAAGCTCACTAAACTTCAGTCATGTGTGATTATAGTGAGTACTGACAGTCTGTTTAATTTTTAATGACAGGTTGTCTCTTTCTTGCAAAGCATTGAGGGAGTTGTGGTATCACCTGTCCTTACTACCCATGTGAAATCAAATGTGGGTCACGTACCTAAAATAAGTAAGAAACTTAGATACCTGTCATAACCATGCTACTCACTGAGTTGGTTTCTGGTGTATGTGTTGACTGTTTCTGAATTTCTTTCTCTCAGTAGGTGAGGTGTTCCTGTTAAACAAGATAATAGAATTGAAAGATGACTCTTGCCAATTAGTAAGCTGTTCAGTCTGTTGTGCCTAGATTCTAGTGACTTAGGATCAACATAAACTCATGTAGTATACATATGCTTCATCTCAGCAAAATCTAGAAAAACTGGGTGCTTTGTAATGGTAGGATGCAAGAGGTGTGTTGTTGCAGATGAAAGTAAATATCGGCTGAAGAACTGTAAAGCTGTTTACTTTCTGGGTTTTAGGTTGCAAGGTCAGTGTTTTGTGCAGGGAAGATGTCTTGGATAGGAGCTTATGCTGCTAGACTGTAGTCATTGTCTTAGTTGGACTTCAGTGACCTAAAGACCCAGTCCACCTCTAAGAAGGAGGCTTCTTTTTGCTTCAGTAGAGCTTGCAAAAGAAATTTCTCCTGCAGTTTTTGCTTCCATTTCGTGAAGATTCTTTCATGTCAATTAATGCATGCCATCACTATTTTATTTTCAGGTATGTCAGAACACAGGAATGAATCCACAGCACTTGATGAAATTCATCCAGCTGGAGAAGAGGTCCAGTCTTACTCTGAGGTGACTGAGCGATAGCTGTATTAGTGTCACATCAGCCCATCCTGGCAATGGTTTTGGGCTCCTGGAGAGGTTGATTCGTGTGGCACAGGGTAGTTAGTGTGGGGATGTAAGTTTGTGAGTAATCGTGAATGGGAGGGTTTGATTTTGAGATGTGGGAGGAAGTCCAGTTAACTGACAAGAAGGGATTACTTCAAGCAGTGGTTGTCACTGTGCTGCAGGGTTTGCTTCACAAGCTGGATAGATTTAGGCAGCATAGAGTCTAAAATGTGTAAGTACAGCAGAAAGAAGGGATTATTACTTCAAGGTAGCAGTTCTTGTGCAACATTGTGTAGCGAGGCATTGTGTTTGCTGGTGGAGTGGTGGATCTGGGCTGCTTTGGCTTTCTTTTTCGTGGGATCAAATTCAGTTTGCATCTCCATTGTGAGCAAATTGTTGAAGTTCCCACTTGTCTATAGACATTTTAGGAAGCTGTTTCACGGAAATAGAGAGTAGATGTTTCCCTGGCTGCTGTAGAGTGACAGTAGAAAATATTAGTTATTTCATTCCTTTATTCATCACTACAAATGTAGGAACTTCACTAGATTTGTTTTGGACTGTCCCTGCATACTGTTACATTTCTGAGGATGCAGCTGTATTATTTACAGCTTAAATGAGCTGTGGGCTACACTTGCTGAAGGGACACTTCGTTCAGTAATCATACTCACTGTTTTAACAGAAATATTACTTTGAGTTGATGGTTTTGTCTTCTCAGCGGTCAGTAAGCTTATTGTGACTGAGGTTGCAGGAAGCTGCATTCATAAGGGAGATGATTTCTGGTTTTGGCAGTAATCTGTATGTAGAGTGTGTGTTTTGAGATACTGTTCTCTTGTAGCTGTTCACCTGGGGCTGTGGCAGAAAGCAATTCTTCAGGTTCTCTGTGCTTTCTTAGTCCATTATTGTCTCTATTTTGTAGTTACAAGTATTGGAACTGTATAACCTCTGCTCTAAAATTGCATCAGTTCTGGAGAACTGATGGCAGTGGAAAAATTCCACAGCCCCTTTTTGAGCATAGGTCACCTTCTTTTAACCCGTGTTGTTTCTACAGTCTTGTTTGCTGAGCAAACACACATGTACTTACTTGGGGATGAAGTAGGGGAATAAGGAAAGCTGATGTGAGAGTGAAGAATTAGGGGTAATGGGTGCAAAAGGGGAGTCCTCAGAACCTCCATGTAAATCAGTGAGGGAAATACTAATCGCATTCCACCCCACAACTGTAGTCAATTCATCTTAGCTTTTATGAAGTGATGGTGCGGTCACCTCTTGCCTCTATGTTATAATTAGTACACTGAGCATAAATTACTGCTACTGATGATGTACTGATTTATGTTTTGTGTGGTCAGAGCTGGGCCAATTGTTGCAGCATGTGTCAGGCTTTTGTGCATGCGCATGTTAGAGTTAGTAGAATCACAGTTGAGTGAAGTGTGAAATGAATCGTTCCCCTTGCTGTTGGTGACTGTTGGAGAGGAGTTGTCCGTGTTTGATGTTCTCTGTTCTTCACTCTTTCAGGACATGGTTCATCTTTTCTGTATCACGTTGAATTGATCAGAGTGTTTGTCCATTGTTTTGCGTGTGTTCAAGTGGTTGGTAGAGGTTGTCACGTTGTAGTAGTATTCTCACCAATATGAGATTCATTCTGAGGAGGGTAGGCAGCATAGTTGTAACTATATGATGTAACCAGAGCTGATAAAGTCACATTCCATAGTTTTAGTGAAGTTACAGATATTCAACTCAAATGTTTGCATCTACACCAATGTTGTCTGCAAGTATAAAAACACGAAAGCTTTTCATACAAACATCCCTTTTCGTAAGTGTGGTTTGAGAGGTTGCATCAAGATGTGCTTCAAAATAGCAGGTAATTTGTTTAGAACCAAGACCAGTGTCTCGTGCTTTGATGGTGTTGCTCTTATAAATAAATTGTGTCTGTTTATTGCAAGAGTCTTTTCCAGTTCTTAACCCGGGTCATTATTTGTGGTTACGCTGCTGCTTCTAGTCTTCATGAAACAGCAGCATCTTGTTACTATCTTTGGCTCTGGAATTGCGTTGGAGCTTTCCAGTTCTGGTGCCTGCGTTTCACTATAGGTTTACTGCCGTTGGCTGAGTTGGAATTGTATGCCATCAGTTTGGTCAGAAGGTGGCGCTAAATTATGAGAAAAGCAAAAGCAAGTTAAACAACTTTAAGGCTTGGAATCATCTTTTTATTTTTCTTATAAACAAGTAAATTTATTGCTTTTTTTATTTTTCCTACCTAATACTTCTTGTTTATTGTTAGCCAGTACAACTTCATTTATCAAAGCCTGCCTTTGTTGTAGTTGGAGCAGCATTAACTACATCAAGAGTCAAAGTGTGTGTATGGAAAGATTAGGTTTGTGCATGGCTTTATGTCTCATTTGTGTACCCCTCTCCTCTCCCATCACCTATCCTGGTGTTTCTTATTTCTTAGATCTTGAAGCTTTGTGTTATTTCGGAGATGCGCTTGCAAACTGATGTGATTTGGGTTTGTGGTGAAATGAATGCATGCAGACCTAGTATATCAGAATATTACCAAAAGGGAAATAAGTCAGCTGGCACAAGATCTACACATCAAATATTCTAATATAGATCACTCAGTGTATTCCAGAACCAACGCTAACCTATTTCTTCTGGTACAATAGGAAGGTGCAATGGCTCAGGAATCTCCCAGAAATTCAGCAGCTGAAATTCCTGTGACGAGCAATGGACAGCTGGAAGATTCTCACGAGCACAGCTTTAACAGGGTAAGAGCTTTCCTTAGTGTCTAGCAAGGTACTGTTATCAGAAATGCTGAAGTTAGAATGCAATGCGTAATGTACTTCACTTGACATAGTTTTCTCAAGTTTTTTGGTATTTTAGTTTGATAAATGTTAATCTTGTTGGCAAGAATAATAAAGAAATTCTGCCAAGGGTGCATACAGATGGCTTGTGAAGTCAGGAGTGTGCACTTGTATGTTACTGATTTGTGAGTCCTTAGGATATCAATTTTTTTTATCCTGACAGTTTTACCTAAGCAGAAAAGCAAACACTTATAAAATACTGAAGCCCTGTGAAGTCCTCAAATAAGTTCTATAAGCAAGTTCCATATTGTCTAAGGCAAGCTACTTCTAAGGGAGGTTAAGTTAGGAGGTAGCACACCTGTAAGTAAAGATGGTCACTTTCTGATGTGAAGCTGTAGATAGGGCAGAAGTAATTTTTCTATACTTAACCTGGAAAATTTACTATTGTGTTGCTGTTATTAGATAAGTATTACACTCTGTTATGTTTGTAGCATGTGGAATGAGTTTCACCTCATCTGTATGTATCATCTGTGTTTTTCTTATCCTGATTGTATTTTTCAGCTGGTTCTTCTTTTGTTTCACTGCCCAGCAGAGGGTGCTGTGCTACAACTTTAGGGATTTGGTGTTGGTCCTCTTTGCATTTATTTTGTTTTTCGGTTTGTTTTTCAGTTGGAGATCTGGATAATTAGCTCATCTTCATATTTGCTATCTGTCAATACACAGATTTTGAGGAAATCTCTAAGCTCTAACAGTTCCGTGCTCATCTGCAATACTGAACTATTTGTAAGAGAAATAAGAAATACTGTGCACAGCTTGGACTTTTTGTTCTGTCCTATAGAACTACTGAGTAGGGGGCAGGAAAAATAATTCCTTAAGTTTAAGAAGTGATGTGCAACTGGAGCATATTTCCTGATCATGTGTAATTAAATGGAGTAGAAACTCAATTTTGATTAGGTTATGCCTACGTTTTAGGTGGGACAACTGAAGTAAACCTTAATGTGTTAGTAGGTGTAGGTTCACTTGGGAATAGAAAAACAGATGTACTGTTTTTGAGCCTTAGAACTTTGATGATATGACTTGACTGCTGTCTCAAAGCTGTCTGTCCTTTACCTAGAAATTGCTTCTTAGGAGTAGCATGTTCAATAATTTTTTAGTATTTACGGTACATGAGATTGCACTTTTGTTGACTCGGTCACAGCACTTGTTTATTCCAAATATAATCACCATTTTCTGTGGAAAATTGAGATGTTAGTGAAGTTTTTGTCTATGGCTGCGTGGTAAAATTGAGGTAGATTCTTGCAGATGCTATGCATTTTTGTGGCTTGGAGTTAAATCTGTTCTGAAACTTCCACTAAACTCAAAAATGGATCAAGTATTTGGTTGAGTCGAAGAAAAATTATGCTGTGCGAATTTGATCGTGTTTTCTGCTGTAGCTTTTAATACATTTTTTGTATTTACACATTTTTTTCATATTGGAGTCAGTGAAGATGAACTTTTTGAACTGTCTTGTGCAAGTTAACACCTGCATGACCTAAACTCAGAGTATGTGATAAGTGGGGCTGCTTACAAACAAAACAAAGAAAACAATCTCCTTGAAATTAGTATCTATCTGTTTACTGATCTCTTAGTCTCAAATTTTAATACTAAGCTTCCATTCATCTTTGTGTTTATTATTTTTAATGGTTAATGCTATACTTTTTTTTTGTTGCCAGTATTTTCAGTAATTTTTTTTGCTATAACCTAAGGCAATATTCTGCACTACAGTACATCTATGTTGAGTTTTCAGGGGTCTTCTTCCCATTATCCTATGGGAAGGAGAGGCCAAGCACTTGTTTTTTAGGAGGTCGCTTAAAAATGGGGCAGCATGCCATTATCACGAAGTTGTGCTCTTACCGCAGTGCTCAGTAAAGTGTGTGAGCACAGAGGGATTTTGTCCACTCAAATTCTAGTGTACTTCTCAATCAAAATTTCTTGGTGCTTGGGGGAATAAGGGTATTTTAGTTTTTTTCTTATTGTTATAGGCAGTGAGATGTACAGCTGTACATTGCATAATTCAGGTATAAGATTAAAAAAAAAAAGTAATTGATCCCGTATTTCTGTTTGCTCTTCTACTCCACTTTGCCACATGCACTTGATAGTTGGTATGCTTTTTTGGTAGATTGAGTAAAGATGTAGTTGTACAGTGTGCTTTTCAAGATTCTGTGGTTATAAAGATTTACACGCCTTCTTAGCAGTATCATCAGACCTCATCCATAAGCCACTCAGGCATGACATTTTTGAGTCAACGTGGTATTTGTATGTTCTGAAGCATGACAAATAATTCAATTTGCAAGATAACACGATATGAATATATTTATTTTGAAGTGGCAAGGAGAATTGCTTGTTCTTTGGAAGAAAAAATGTGACTAGTTGTGCAGAATATCCGACAGAACAGATGGTAATGACGTTGCAGGAAGAAGTGTATTTGTTCCGTTCTTGTGGATATATATTAAAGCACTACTTGATGCATCCTCAGTAAGTTGTAGCTCCTGTACGTTTAAGAAAAAAAAGTAATAAAAAAGACACAAGGTAGCTTGAGTGTTTGCTGAACTGTAAAATCTCATTTAGAAATATGCTGCTGCATATGCTGTCTGGTTTGTAATAGTAAGAAATGCCTAAGGAATTCTGACAAGTTTTGTCCTGCCTCTATGGTAAATGGAATTTTTTTTTTTACTAACAAAGCCTGTAACTTTAATCATCAGCGGATAAAATGTCTAATGTTTCATTACAGAAAGGCTTGAGTCGGTGCTTTTCAGCTCTCCAAGCTCTGTTGAAACTTAGTTAAGCTCTAAAGACGTGAAAAAAAGTGTTTGCTGATGTTTGGATGCTTTTTAGTCTGTGTTAATAACAGAGAACTTCAGTGATTACTAATTAAGCGTGTTTTTCTTGCTATTTTGTACAAGAAAACACAGAAAAAAATGTTGGTTTATATTTTTCACGGGTTTAAGTCACTTATCCCTGTCTTGTAGAACTAAGTTTTCTTCCCATGGAACTTAATTGCAATTAGAATAGTAGTGGCTTTAATGTTGCTGAAGGGATAAGAAGTGAGAAAGTATATTATTCCTTATTGAATCACATGCCGTAGGAATAATTTAAAAAGCCTTCTTTGGTCTGCCTGTATAGGTACTCAAGAGCCATAAGCTACTTGTTATGCTTATACTATTGTATGAGATCTGTATTAAGTTCTGAAGTCTGCATCTCTGAAATCCTCATTTCACTATTTCTGTTTGCTTTCTGTGTTGCTTCCATCTCTTTTCCCACTTCTACAGGGGTAAAACATTGTTAAATATGTATATAATACTTGTAATTAACTTTGGAAAGAAAAATTGAACTTAATTGTTAGTATTCAATCTGTTAAATTTCAAGCACAAAATGAACTTTGAGATTTGGTGAACCTGAGTGCAAATATTCAGTATGTTGTTCTGTAATTCTATTAGGTTTCCAGGTTATGCAAATAGGTAAAGTCAACTCATTTTGTCTTTTCCCATTAAATGATGCCCCGGCCTTCTCTCTCATGTTCTACCTAAAACATCTGAGTTCTGTTTGATAGGTTTTGCTGTACTGACTGCTGTGTCTAGAACTCAATTTGTGCACTTGTATTTTAATTCACACTGGTTTTAGAACTCAGATTGGCATGTCAGTTATAGAAAACTGCTTTTGAAATGAAACCAGTTCAGTCTGTCTGTTTGTTGCCAAGTGATCTGCTTGTCTTAAAATACAGTAATTATGAATGTGAATGGTGAGAGTACAAGTGAAATAAATATTAAAGCAGGTTGTGATTTGGTGTTAGGTAAGCCTAAAGGATTGTGGCAGGAAAAGCTTACCTTCTTTTTCAAGAGAAATGTATGTGTATTGAGAATAGAGGCAATACCAGTCCATGTTTTCTGCATGTTAGAAGTAGAATAAAGCATTAAGCATAAAAATAAATGGCAGGAGAGCTGTAATTTCTATTGATATGAAGATCTAGGGAATTCTTGGAAGATAGAGATTGAGTGAGACAAAGGGTAGAGGAAAATGTGGGATAAGGAGCCCTGCCAGTGCATCCATTAGGGCTCTAAATGAAAGTTCAGAGCTCTGTATCTTACTAGATGGATGTTATGTCTACTCACTGAAGATTACATTAAAATAATCTTTAAAACTTTAAACTGGATCTTACAATATGATGTATTACAAGTTCTTCCCAAAGGTAAATTTCATGTCTTACTAAAAACATCATTGATTATTTGAAAAATATATGAGCATGTGATTGTTTCCAGTTCTAGTTGCTCAACTTTGAATGGGCTCCTCAAATTAACAAGGAATGTGTTGGCCTGTTTTTCAATTGCTTTATTGAAAGTAATAAAGGCACCTAAAATTGTGAGTTTTGAAACTGTTGTTAGTAAAAAGCCAACAGTGATACTTGGACTTCTGTTCATAATGACTGATGCAACTGTGCATTGTGTCATTTGTGCTGTGAAAATTCTACCCCGTGGACAAACAAAACTGTTTTGATATCTTTCTCACTTCATTTTAAATTTCAGTGTAGAGCATGGATGGGAAATGTCTTTATAGAAAGAAGTCTTTTAGCTCAGCCCACATTTCCTTCTTTCCGTGTGTTCTGTGTGACTTCTTTGACGTGCGTACCATATCAAAAGAACTGATACAAGTTCATGCTAGTTGGCCTGTATAACAAACGGAAGAATATTGCTGTTGGAGACATTTAAATAAGGCTATTCTCATTATAATAGCATAATGTGGTGATTTGAACTAAAAGTGGAGTTTTAACCAGAGACTAATGTAGTTTAAATGCTCTGTGCTGTGCAGGTTGTTTGCGCTGACTCAACTAGACCGTACTTTTATTCCTTTGGGCCGTTACCATCCTAAATGGCTGAGAATGGCATAGGTAATTCAACCTCTTGACTTCACGGGGATATTTTAAGTTGTAGTTTTTATACTTCTAATTGTGGGTTACAATGGAAATACCAGATGATAATTGCGTAAACAAATGCAGTGCTTCATTCATCATTCTCAATTGTATAAGAATTAAATCATTGCTTTCTGTGGTGATGACAATACATTATGGGCTTGTATTTTTGAGATATATGAATGTATCTTGAATTCTAGTGGCGTTATTAAGAAGGTGTCAAATAACAAATTTGAAAGCAGGTTTTATGATCATCAAACTCTTCCTACTAGCTGGAAGAGCAGTAATTAGTCAAAACATGTTTACCTTACTGTTGAAGAAGAATCTGACTTGACTTCCTATGTTGTAACAGCAAATATTGATGGGAAAAAGAGAGCTATTTACGTTGCTTTCTTCTTACATTTCCAAAATATCCGTAAGCACTGTAACAGCTTCTCTTAAATGTGAAGTTTACAAAGGTAATCTTTTCCTTACTCTAAGGTGTTTCTAAATTATACTTGAAGTGATAAATTGCTTCATCAGAAACAGATGTCTGAGTAGCCTTTTTGTCTGTCTTTATTGCTTATAAGGAAGCATGGTCAGTTGCAAGAATCATGTGCTAAACTGAAGTTTACATGCAGAAACATGTCTGTACTCAATGAAGTTAGCTGCCATGTTTGTAAACAGCAAAGAGGCAGTGGATTGGTAATCACTGATGACATTTCTCATTGCGTAAACATCTTTCTTCAGCAAGGTGTATTTCAGCTGGTTGGTATAGGTACTAAAAGCAGGCATGAATGCATTTTTTCACACTGCACTTCACCTTTTTTGACAACTGAAGAAAAGATTCCTCTGAACAAATGTTTTGTGCTTGTTTATGCACCTAGGTGTATACGTGCCAATAAAAAAAAATCTGCCTAATATACCCACCGTTGTGATTCTTAATATATTTTCATGAACTGAGAAGTATTTTTTTTTATTTTGGAGAAGGATCTTTTTGTATGTTTTAGAGTATTCTGAATGATTCATTTAACTGTAGTTTGTTCAGTCTGTGTTTAGCTTTGAATCAAAATTGAACAGTATCTATAAAAGCATTTTGGTTGCTTAAACTTAGATGTAAACTTCTGTGTTTACAAAATAGATGTTCTGCATTTTTATCTTGAAATACAAATGATGGCTTGGATTCCTGTTTTGAACATGCTTAGAGAGGTTAGCTGTTTGGCTTCAGGTTTCAATATTTTTGTGAAGTATACGATGTGCCACGGTGTCCTTGGGGAGAAAAAAAGTTTGATGCTGTGTTCTGTTTTCCTAAATTGGTGCATCTTCCTCTCTGCTATTTGGTAATCGTTGTGCTTTTTTGTGACTCCTACTGGCTTGCAGCATTTGGAGTTAAATGGACTGTGAATACCAGTTGAACTAGGTTGAAGCAAAGCTTTCCATCATACCACCAACTATGTTTACTTCAATGGAGGTACCAGTGTAAGTCAGCTGCGAAGACAAAGTATGTATCAGGTGTTGAGATCTGGTTTATTTGTGAGATCAGGTTCTGTGCGACTACTGTATGTTTTTCATGGTATGTATTCTTTCCCATTTTCTTTTTGGTATTATGCTTCAGGTACATAAATGGAGCGTTATTTATATGAAATAGCCAGTTGTATGAGTACAACTGTTGGAGTTGGTTACTCCAGTTGCAGTAATGTCCTCGGTTTCCCACATCAACGACATTTCTACTGTATTGGAATTCACACTTGTATCTTTTGCTTTTTCTTCCCCCTAGGAGTTTGTCTTAAACTGAAGACAAATCAGTCTGTGGAGATGTGATCCAAAGCCACTTCTTCACATTCTGAGCTTTTAGGCAGTATCATTCTTAGGCAATAGCTTATATCTTGTTTGTGGACTCGGTGACTGCAATATTACATAAAACATACATTGGATTTTAAAGATGATATTTTGTGTGTAATCTCTTAATTGCAAGTATTATGCATAGTTACTGTATGTATCCAGGCAGTGGCAGTTTTTTTAGAGCTATGTGTAGTTTTTGTCTATGTATTTCACTATTGCATTCTGAAGTATTGCAATATTGCATTATTGCATGTTTTTCTGCGCTTCTATCTTTTCTTGCAAGGGGATGTAAAAGTATATCTAACTCCAGAAAATGCCCATTTTCTATCTCCTTGATGCATAGTTTCTTTTTTTAAGTGCATCTTACCCTTTTTCTTTTGTTTCTATAGTAGCTTTTTGTTCACTTTTTACTGTTAAGAATTAGTAGTTTACGTTGCTTTGTATGCCTATAGGTTGTTTTTTTTAGGCGCTAAGTATATTCCATAACATTAGAAGTTGAAACTTGAAATAGAACATGGCCAGAGCTCAAAGGGTTCCAGTGAATAGAGCTACTCCTGGTGAATGGTCACCAGTGCTGTTTCCCAGAGCTCAGTTGCACAGCACCCTCAATAACAACATGCTTTACCTCTTGCTTAGCTCTGAAGTGCCCTGGCGGCAGTTAGACTTGGTGTCTCGAGGTCTCTTCCAACCAAACTGTTCTATTGTCTTTCTTCTTCTTAGGAGGATCTTAATTTCTGCCTCAACACATTGTTGCCAGCAAAACTTAAACAAGGGAGTTTCAGACTGTTTAAAATTGATTAATTTTAAAGGCAAGGAGAAGTAAGCAGCTAAGAGCATTTGTGATACAGGGAGGTGCTCAGAGGGAAGTTGCTGAGGGAAGATGCCTTCCTGTTTTTACTATGTCAGAGTTGGAGGAGATTTCATGTGCTGCTTATAGGAATTAAGGATTATGTGATATTTAAAGGTATTTCGAGCCTAGAGTGAAATAACTTGTATGTCTGATAGTTGTTTTCATGCTTTTGATGGTAAAACATTGTCTGCCCTTAGTCTTAGGGCTTTCTGTACCCTGATCAGTTTAATGAAAAGCATAATTAAACTGCTGTGATTGTCTGGACCACAGACAGCTTCAGACCACTAAGCATGGTGATGTAGGCCACGCTTTTGATAATTGCTACTCAAAAAGATGCATTCTGGTTGTGCCTCAATCCTAAATTATAACAGCTTCATGTTTTCTGTAACTCTGTTTGTTGTCTTCTTGCAAATGTCAGAAGGAAAGCATGTTAAATGAACAAACCAGTGTATCTAAAATATATACACAAGCTATGCTGATTGTTTTTAATTGAAGTTTTATTTTGCATCGTAGCGGAGTGCTGTGTCAATGGCAAAGACATTCCAGGCTAGAGGCAAACCCATCTGAGAACTGCTAAAATTACATCGTAGTACCTTGTAGTTGCTTTTATGTTGGTTTTTTTTTTGTTTTTTTTTTAACATTAGTTTTCCATTCTATTCAAATATTTCAAAGGACTTGAAACGTTCATTACCAGCTGGACTTGGACTCTCTGAAACCAAAATAACGTCTCATGACTTTGACAGCACCAAAGAGGGAGTTGTTGAAGCAGGACCATTTCCAGGGAAAGGTAACTTGCTTTTTAATCTCTTTCAGTTTATAATCTTCAGGTATATTTTATATGCTCAGAAATAACATTCTGTAGCTTCTGTGAGCATTTTTATGTAGATGTGTAGGCTGAGATGTATGTTAGTGACAGCCTTATTTTTCTCTGGTAGCTGGGGTGTTAAAATAGAACTGCTGCACTCCTATTATCTGTCAAGGGACTGATAAAACTTTTTGTTAAATTGGCCCTCACTTGGGGGAAGGGAAGTAGTTTCCTTGAAACTGTGTCAAACCAAACACTTGAACAATTACACTACTTTGAAAGTCTAGATTACAAGTGTTGTACCAATTTGAAATATAACTTTTCTTTATACACAGTTCACTTACCTGGAACAGATGAATTACTGACTTCTCTTCCCAAGTAGTCTTTCCTTCTTTAATGTAACAGTGCACATAATTTAATGTTTTGTCAGGAGCGATAACACCATGGGTCTCTCCAAGTACTATGTAATTAAAGTAATTTCTCTTATTTTTTCAGCACCGATTCACAGTTGTTTAGAGCAGGATAATTTTAGTTTATAATCTTTAGAACATGTTAAGTCTTGTAAAGAAATAAATAAAAGTATTAAATAAAATATTTATTGGGTTAAACTTTGTGGGGGAAAAAAAAGGTAAGTCATGTCAGTGTTTGCCATCTGTCTAAAAACAGAAGATGCAGTGATATAGTGTGTGAAAGTGATATTTTAATGAATTTCGTAGCTTAGTCTACTTCTGAATTTGAAAGGTTTGAAATGATCTCAAAGGAGCAGCTGTGAAAATAAGTCCTTTGTAGTCACACGTTTAATTTGCATTTTGCTTCATTTCCTGTTTTGTAAAATGTGCTTATGAAAACAGTGATTTACATGCTGTACTGTATGTATATTACAAAGTAAATGCTGTGGTTTCTTTAAGACTGAAATAAGCAGAATGCCTAGCTAAAAACTGGGCAGATGGCAAGCCTCTCATCATTCTGGCCTTTCTGTATTCTATTTGCAACATAGCTCTTGGAAGTGCTAAGTATGTTAGACTGTAAGAAAAAGAATATCTTAGATTTGTTTCAAGCTATGCTCATATGTAATAATGTAGTAAGTTATGTACACAAATAATGAGCCTTAAGCATGTAATTTTTAACAATACAGATATCAGTTTTCCTTCAGAGACTGTTTTCAAATTATTCCTCATGTTCTATCCATATCAGGCAGAGAGATATAGCAGAAGATTAGACTCTCTAAAACTAGAGATAAAATTTGAATGATAGCTCTATTTTAAAATATTCTTAATCCTGTGTAGGTGTTTTTATTAAGGCTTCATTTTTGCAGGCTAAGTAAGCAGTAATGTGGGGAAGGCAAGGATCCAAGAGGTGCTGAATAATGAAGCATGCATGGGGCTGCGTTAATAGTGTCAAGTCCTAGAGTTTTTTCTTTTAACTGCTTGTCTTTGTTTGCTTACTGAAGTGATTTAATCTTCAGGTCTGTAGTAGTAGGATCTTGTAGTCCAACTTTTATGTGTGGATGGATCCACTTGCAGCTCTTATGTAATGTACAACAATCGAAGGTCACAACAATGGCGCCTTTCAATCTCATTGCTTCTGTGTGATGTTCAAGTGCTTTTATATCCCACGTATTAAAATGTTTTGCATCTCATGTTGGTAGTGCTGTAGAATGTGTTTAGTAGGCAAAATCTAGTTGTGTTGATTTAGTTACTTCAAGTGGCATTTCTGCTATTGGTGATAGGTAAGTTCTAGTGCAAAGTGCTAAGGTTTAGACTTCTTTTTTAAACCCCCATCACACAGTGGACACTCTCAATCCTACAAAGCATCTGAGATCTCTTCAGCAGAAGTGATAGAAGCACTCCCTGGTATGCTGATGACTCCTGACTGCAGAGGAAAAACTATCTCATTCTATTTTTTGTTCAACTCTTGAAAAATTCTGTGAGATTGTCACTCTGCATTTATGTGATAAGAAAGAGTTGCAGAACTCACCAAACTGCTTAGGGAGCACACACAGTACAGGTCATTTGAAGGTGTGCTTTTAGAAGTGAGAACAAGCAAGTATTGTAAATTCTTCTTTTTGGGAGGGAAGTTACTTGACTTAACAGCTAATGATTCTTATAATCATCAGTACAGGTTATCGTTGAGTTTTGTGGGTGTGTTTTAAGTTGTTTTTTTTTTTTAAAAAAAAAAAAAAAGACAGGTTTAGGAGTAGATGTTGAAGTCTAGTTAAAATTGGCCCAGGTTTCAGAGCCTGCTTGTTCCCTTGATGCTGCAAGTATTGTTGAGCAGCAGCGTGCAGTGAAAACTACCTCAAACTGAAAATGTGCCTTCATCTGCAGTAGCCATACATGGAGTTCTCTGTTGGTAGTACGTATTTTACTTATGAAGCTGCCAGTTGTATTTTGATTACTCTTTTTAAAGAAAGGAAAAATTGGCATCGTGACTTAAAGAATAAAATTAAATCACAAAAACTTGGAGTAGTTCACATGAACAGCTGCACCTTTTAAAAAGCATTTGTGCATCTGTGAATGTTTCTATTTAATGTGTTGCTAAAACAAATATTTCTTTGCTTTGAAAATCTATCTGTAAAAGTACATGTTGCCTCCTAAGGGAAGGTGGTGGATTTTCATGGTTAAATATGTCCCCTTTCCAGGTTCCTCAGCATCACCCAAATCAACTGTTATATCTGCCAGCAGTGCAGCAGCTAGCAGACTGGCTGGACAAGGTTGTGATTTAATTATTCCCACAGGTATCGCAGCACTGAGCGGATAACGCCCTTGTCTCTGCTGACACTGTACTAAAACTCCTCCATCTCTTCAGTCATTTGATTTACTCTTACTTGGAAGCATAATTTCTAGGGGCTCTTGGTGTTCCTGGTTTCTGGATTTTAACTGTTCACTAAGTAATCTCTGCTTCCCTTTCTGTTTGCTACTTTTTGTGCTATAATGTTGAAAACAAATTACTACTAACAGACAGTAACTACAATGTGCATAATCAAGTTCTTTTATTTTGATTGAAGCTGAAACTCATGGCTTTCTTTTTGCACCAAATGTTCATATTTTCCTGTAAAACAGAGTATGAGGTGGCGATTAGGAATTTCTAACACCCAAGCTTGGCTTTGCCGTTTGACTCATTTTGTGCCTATGGGCAAATTACTTAACATCTATGTTTCCTTCTATGTAAAAGGAGAAAACTCACTCTGTTACCTCATAAGGGTGTTGAGAGGATTAATTACCTAATGTTTGCACAGCATTTTGAAGACATAAAGGATACAGTAGTGCTTGATGTTGAAGGAGTATCTTGAGGCATCTTTATAGATGTTTTTTCCAGTCACTTATTTACGTAAATTACCAGCAGTGATGAGGTGACTGTAAGTAGCCATCAGGACTATTCAAAGCATGCGAGAGCAGCAGTAGTCAAAATTGTTCACAAATAAATTTTGAGAAACTGCTTTTAAAATAATAGAATTTAGCAGCTTTTACTGTTTAGTATAGTAGGAAATGGTTTTTCAAAAATAAAACATAGAATCTGTGATGTCCTGTACTAGCTTGAAAATATTACGTAGACAATGAATACGTGCTCATGGGACCTAAATATCTTTATTTGATGCTAGCAAATGCTTCTTTATTGCTGTTTTTGTGCTGTTGGTGCATGGAATGAATTGCTCATAAACCAACAGGCTAAAAAAATCTGAAAAACATAAATAAGCTACACTTCCTTGATGGTGGCTAAATGTGTTTTCTGGAAAGGATAATGTTCATTAGAAAGAAAATCTGTTTCGTCATGTCTTTAAGTTATACTCTGTGGCAACAATTTTTATAAGTTGGTAACATTCATTTAGTAGTTTGCAGGATATAAACTAACTTCAGATTTGCTAAGTCCAGAAGAATGTTCGACTTCTGGAATGTTAGAAACATAGATAAAGTAAAGAACAGGTATCTAAAACGGTTTTAAGGTTGGTTAGTAAACTCCATGCTTTTGGGTAAGCTTCCTTAAGCCTTTTGCCAAGTAAAAGTACTGAGATGCACATGCTCTATATCTGTTTTTAATGTAATTGTTTTGAATTCATCTTGAAAATTAACAAATTTATCAATGTGTTTACTTTCACCTCATTCTCCTTTTGCATGTGCAGTTGCGCAAATCTTCCTTACTCCTATTAATTCCTTAAACAAATCAAAAACACAGGCCTTAATTACTTACTTTGTGTATAACGTGTAGGGAGTAGAGCTCAGCAGAAGAGTGGACCTGTTGTGTTAGCAGATGAAGTGAAGAATCCAGCAATGGAGAAGTTGGAATTGGTGAGGAAATGGAGCCTAAATACTTACAAGGTATGTGGACTTAAACTTGTGTGTGCATATATATTCTAGAAATGAGTTTGCAACTGAAACGGACTATGGCTTTTGAAGAATGGCGCTGCAGTGTGGAAGGAAAGCATTTGTCATTTCAGTGAGCATAAACAAGAATGTGCATGGAAAGCTTAGTTTTCTTTGTTTGACTGGATAAAGATACTGATTTAACAAGGAAAAGAACATTGTGTGTCTGGTGCCTCCTTCAAAATAGAGAACGTACAGATTTCAGTATGTAATGCTCGTGATTAAGACATCTTGCTAAGCTGATTGCTGATACAGTAGAATTTTATCTGATGGAAAAAGTCAGGTGAATCTACAAGTTATAAACTTGTTAATTGCAATTCTGATATTTGTTTTATATTAGCTCTATTTTTTTTTTTCTTAGCACTGTAATTGTTGTTTCCAGTTTGTCTGTTTTGCTTTTGTTTGGCACTTGTAGAAGTGCTTAAAGCACACCAGTTTGCCAGAGGTGACTCTTTTAAAATAGCCACAAAGTAAGGAACAGTTGCCAGGAAATGTATTACAGTCAGGAGCTAAGATGAATTTTGGAAAATAACTTTCCATTGTGGATGAAACTCCAATGGCAGAGGTGGGGACAGCTAGATGTGCATCAGTGGGAACTATGTCAGGCCATAAAGAGGTAAAGAATCTGTTTTAAAATGTTTTTTCTTGTAGAACAGAGGTCTGAATCCTTCCAATGCCTTGAATCCAGGAAGGGTATTCTCCCCTGTGAGGATGTTCAGTATAGTGAACATAGACACTGCACTCGCTAGAAAAGGTTTATGCTGTCTGTTGTGTTAGAATCAGAAATTTGACCCTTTTTATGTACAAAAAGCATATTTAATTTGGTTAAAGATAATATTTCAGTTTGTGGACATTCTAGCTTGCCTTATTTCTCTTCAGAAAGGAGAAATTAGATTACATTTACTTTTTTTTTTTTTTTTAACAAGCTATCTTGTAATAGCTAAAAACGTTGGTCTTCAGTGAATCCTTCTCAATGACTACAAGTCTGTAATCTTTAAGAGGATAGGTAATTAATGGCTAATCGTAATTCCTTCCAAATCCATCTTTCTCCATAAGGACTTAGGCATACACTTTTTGCTTTAGGTTTCTGTTTCCAGGTGTTCTTACCAATCTCAGCCAGTTCACACACTTATTGCAAGTATCACTCCTTGCTTGCTTTGGCAGATACATTCAGAAATCATACTCATCTGTGAAATGATGATTAAATATGCCTGTATGTGTGTTGTATACCTCACTATTTTGTCTCTTGTGCATCTCCATGAATGAGAACAGAAATAAGAGAAGGGTATAAACTGTGTTTAAGCAACTGCTTACCAGTGAAAAATTACAGAAGTTGACACTACTGGACTAGCCTAACTGTGAATTTTTCAAAGGTTGCTTAGCTTTCTCCCTAAACTTAGAGGCTTGTAAAACTAGGCTGTTACCTTTGCGGCTACTGGCCCTCTTCATTAAGAGCTGCCCTGAGAATCAGTTGTTGACAGGTTGAGAGCCTGTTGATTAAAAGTAGGGACCAGACTAATAAAGGGCATCTAGTGATTGGGGTCCACTGCAAGCCAACTAATTGAGGGGAGCTTGTTGACAAGGCCTTCTTAAATCAGCTGCAAGAGGTGTCATGTTTGCAGGCTCTCATCCTGATGGGGGATTTTACCACGCAGATATCTGCTGGGGAAAACAACATCGTGACCTGCAAGCAATCAAAGAGACTCCTGTTGTCTACTGATGACAACTTTCTGTTTCAGATATTGGACAGAGACCTACCAGAGATAAAGTGTTTCTGGATCAGGTCCTCGTGAATGCAGAAGAGATTATTAGAGGGGTTAAGATCAGAAGCAGCTTGGGCTGCAGTAACTATGTTACTGCATGTTCGTGATCACAAGGAACGTGGGTCTGGCAAAGAGTAGAATGAGGATCCTGAACTTCAAGAGAGTGAACTTGAAACTGTTTATGCAATTGAATGAGATCCCCTGGGAAACTGTCTCTGGGGACAGAGAAACAGGACAGAGCTGGCAGCACTTTAACAATGCCTTTCTGAGAGCACAAGAGCTCTCCATTCCCCAGAATAAAATCAGACAGAAATTGGGCTTATCCAGCTTGGAGGAGAGAAGGGTCTCATGAGATCTCAATGTGGCCTTCAGGTACTTGAAGGGAGCTAAATAGCAGCAGGGGACTGTCTTATTACATGGTCTGATGGGATCCTGGGCAGCCTAGTGGTTGGCAGCCCTGCCCAGGGGGTTGGAACCAGTGGATCCAAACAGTTCCAACTGTGAGGCCGTTCTGAGTCTTTCCAATCTTCTCCCTAGTTATCCTCAGAAGGAGTTGCTTATTTTCCATGATCTAATGGCAAGTGCTTTTTCTTTTTTTTTTTTTTTTTTTCCTTTACGTAGACTTCTTCGGATGAGAGAAGTTTTTTCAGTTATGAGTTAATATGGATGCGAGTTGCAACTCTTCTTTGCTTTCACTAGTTTTAATAAGTAAGCTTACCTAATTTTTCAGACAATTTCTTAAATTTCAAGGAAGAACATACTAAATGTATTTTGTAAATTTCTTTAGTAGTGGTCTATTAGAACTGTCCAATAATGTCTCCGTTCATCCTTTAATGTACACAGTTTAAAATAACTTTCTTTAAATTTATTTCTGCTGATCTTTCATTTGACAGAATTGACTTTCTTAATATGCCTTGGATGCCTTCTCACTTTTTAATGAGTGTAATTATGCTGGACAGTGTTTTTCTAGGTAATTTTTAGAACAAAGCAAAATGAAGTTCATGTCAAATATTCTGTTTGCTAGTGAGAGAGCATAGGAAATTGTGTTTATACCAGTCCACTTGTAACTAGAGTAAATGGAAACGGTGGCTGGGTACATCTTTTTAGTTGCTCTTGTTCAGTGTTCAACCTTAGTTTTAACAAAGTAAGCAGAAAAAATATTTCAGATGACTAATTCTCATTTGAACTGTTGTCTTTTCAGATATTTTGCTATAACTTCTGGGGAAAATATTCCTGTGTAATTTATTTTTACCCTTCCCCCCCAAAAAAAAATTTCACTTCTTTAAGTTACATTTTTCTCTTGGATTTCCATAGGTATGTGAGAATCAGCTTCTTTTTTTTTTTTTTTTTTTAAATAGCCAGCACTTATTTTTTGTTAAATACATCATGAGCTTACCAAACTTCTTGCTAAGCTATGTTTTCTAATTTCAGTTGGAAGCCTTGGTGTTTCTGATGTATTCAATGATAGTATGATTTGTTCTCTTCAAAACTTATGAATCTTTACAGAAAAATCTGCTAGATAAACTGTTCTTTCTTGTTAATTGATTGAATCTAGTGAAATAGTCCAAATGTTCTGTACGTTCTACTGCAAAGTTTATCAGTTATGACCATCTTGTTTGGCTAAATCCTTGAGTCTTTCTTTCATTTGTCTATTAAATATAAAAAGTACTGGAAAGTTCTAACAGATATTATAAGTCTGTTTGTCCCCTTTGAAAGTAAGTAAAGACTGGACTAAACTGAATTCCTTGAATTCGGAGACACTGGAAAATCCAGTGCTGTAATGTGTTCTGGTGATGTGAATTAAGATAGGGTTGGTCTTTATGTCTCTCAGCAAAATTGTATTCTTGTGCTTAGGTGAAGCTGTAGCCTTGTCTATTACTGAGTTTCATTATAATCCTGTTTCTAGCAGTCATTCTTCAAACGTGTCATTTAGTTTTTGACTTCACGGATTAACTTGAATTTAATCATAGCAGCAAATAATCCCTGTTTTGCAGAGGGATTGTTTTGCCACTTTTCTGCTTTGCAAATTACATTTATGCATTAGTCAAGGGAAGCCCAAACGGTGTGTCTCGGGAGCCTTGCTCTCTCATGTTGGTCTCTGGTCTCTGTCAGAATGTCACAGACAATTGGAACGTGGTAGCTGTCTAAGCTGTCACAGCCATTGGCTGGCTGGTTCAGCCTTCTAAAGGCAAGACTTGCTGCTCACTGTATAAAGAAACTGCAAGGATGTCTCAGAATGTTTGTTTTCAGACCCAAGTAGAATTCTTAACAATCAGTTCCATTTTATAGGCATGTTAATAAATAACAAGAAACACTTCATGTTTTACACATGAGTGAAAGTTTTGAGTCACCTTTAAAAAAACATGCTGAAGATTCCCTTCCATCCATCTTCTTCTCCTTCCTTAGAAAATGAGATTTAAAAGTTTATACATTCCCAGAGCCTTAATGGGAATTCCAAAAAATAACAGGGATTATCTGGAATGGGATGGTTAGTAGGCAAAGTCTAAAAGATCACGGAGCAGAAATTTTTATGCAGAACTGGTAATATTCTCATTAATTGCCTTGAGTGTTGTGAGCTAAATAATTGCTTCTTTTAACTTAGTAAGATTCACTGAACCTAAAAAGAGATAAGCATTCTTTTACTTGAGAAACAATTAGTTATACTCTTGATTTGCTAACTTGAGTATTCATTTTAGTAGGAGTTGAGACTTGTCCAACTGTTCTTGCTGAGTCCTGATGAACTTCTAAAGAGTGTGGTGTTTTTTCAGTTTGTTGTGCAAACTTATATTGGGAGGGGTGATTGTGAAAGAATTGTGTATAATTATCTGTCCCTTGAAGCTGAAAATGGGTGTATACTGTGATGTCTTGGATATATTTGATTCTTTATAATTTAAATTTTTTTCCAGTGTACACGTCAGATCATCTCTGAAAAACTGGGTCGTGGCTCAAGAACAGTAGATCTGGAATTGGAAGCTCAAATAGATATACTGAGAGATAACAAAAAAAAGTATGAAAATATCTTGAGACTGGCACAGACTCTGTCTACACAGCTCTTCCAGATGGTACATACCCAAAGGCAACTTGGAGATGCTTTTGCTGACCTGAGTTTGAAATCATTGGAACTTCATGTAAGACTTTTATGGTGTTTTAAAAAAAAAAAAAAATGTAATGAAACAGCAGAGATGAAGATAAGCCCAATTGACTTGTGCAGATTGTGTGGTAGTTAGCAGCCGGTCCTATAAACATTTGTTAACATCATTACGTATTCTTTTTGTTAAAAGCATCTGTAATTCATTTAAAACTGTAGGATATCACTGGAGTTATTGTAGTTCTTAAGTGTTTCTAAATGTTGGCCTTTAGCTGATGATTGGACTTGGCAACTGACAGCTTTGCTTTGTATAGAAAATGCATTTTACTATTCCTTTTTTCTTCTAATGAGATGTCAAAGCGTTCTGGAGCATTACTTCATGTCAATTACAGGATGTCTCTGGGGAAATATGCCTGGCAGTGGGTAGAGTAGGGCACATTACTTCACTGCTGCATGTTTAATGTGAGTAAATGATTTTTCTGTAGTAGAGTCAAGCACTGAGATTCCATCTTGTAGTCTTTTTTTAATCATAATAATGATGGTAAGAGGACTAATTTTTCCTTTTGTGTTTGGAGTTTCTGAGCAAGGAAGGCAATCTTCAGTTATCTGCATTTGGGTTGTTCTTAGACATTGACAAGTTTATGTAGCGCTGTCACTTCATTACTGATCACAAAACTCTTGTAAAGAAAGAGAAGGTAGGTGTTGCATACCAAAAAATAAGTTGGTTTGCTTCTATGCAAATCCTTCTGTACTTCCAGTGTTAAGTCAATTTCATACTCTGCCTGATCTCCTGGGAAACCACTGTCAAGGGGCTTAACGATTCGCTGGAATGTGGCTAATGAAAAAGCCCAAATTTGGTTTGTTGTTATTAAATGTCACTCTTATTTTTCCCTTTTCATGATTGCCTATTCTCATTGAGTTATAGGAAAGAAGAGGAGTAAATGTTTGTGTAGAAGAACTTTAACCAGTAGCTAGTTTAAAAAAAAAAAAAAAATCAGACTTCCACTGGAGTACAGAAATTTTTAATATTATAGCCTAACAGATGAAGATCTCAAAATATGCCACTTCTAGCAGTTAAGAAATAAAATCTCCAAAGAGGAGTAGTTTTATCTGTTGATTCTTGACCATGGGTATGTGGTTTGTGGCAGAAGTTAGCGATTGTTGTGAAGTGCGTGCTGAAGCTGGATGTTTCTTCCGAAACCTGGATTAATCTGGAATCATGCTCTTATTTAATGAACGGTTTTTTCATGAATAGCTTGTATTTCTAGTGGGAATACAGTTCCTCCAGGTCTTTTCAGCATCTTTTACTGGTCTTGGAATTTGTTTCAGTCATTCATCTCCTATGTAGATTATTGAATGGGGCTGTTCATGAAAATGAAATAAAGGTTTCTGCTGCTGTAATAAAAGTTATCTAACCTTTGCCTCTTGGAGACTTGCCTGATGTTTGTCTGTTTCCTCTTTGTGTTTTCCCTTTGTTTAATCTGTACTGCGTTGCCATCTGTAGCCTGGCCTGTTCTTGAATGTTTGGATAACATTGCCTCTGAATCTTGTGCAGGACTAAAAGTAAAATTTCTGAACAGTTCAGTGTTTAATTTGATAAATAGAAAAAAAGAAGCATAACTTGTTATAGGTAGTTTTTTTGTACATGTTAACAAAATAAGATCTTAATATGGTATCTACAGAGGCATTACTTCAATATGTTTTGCTGTTTCTCTTTTGGGTACAAAGATAACTCCTGGTTCCAGGCTCATATGCCTCTAATTATATAGAGTGGTGAATTCCAATTGTAATTGACCTGTGCATAGAGCATGAACTGAGTATAAACTCCCATACAGAAAGGATTTCCTGCCTTTCATAAGAGGTGTCTGCAGAGGTCATGGACAAAACTCAAGTTTTATATGAAACTACGAACCAGTAAAAAGACAGTTTTGGTGACTAGCACGTTTTAATATGGTACACCACTGCAGTCCCATCCTTCTTACCCTCCTGCTTTGAACTGGCGGTTTTGCTCATTTGTGCCTGCAGTAATCTGGGTCACGGGACCACCTGGAAGGCTAATTGTGGTCTTGCCTGGAGGAGGGAAAGATAGCACTAAATACTGCCAGAGGGGCAGTCCTACTTCTGCTTTTGTCTTTGCCTGTATGCTCATGTTGCTATCTAGTTAGCAATGTCAGAACAAAAGCAGCTGAAAAATATTTTTCTCTATTTCAACAGCATCTGTAGTGATTTGGCTGCCTACACATAAGCAGTGTCTAAAAGAAAGGAGATGGTAATATTCTAGCAGCATTTGCAGGCCCTTAGCTCATGAAAATTTGCCTTAAGTTCTCTCTATTTTCTCCATTAAACTGCTTGTTTCCACTGCATCTCGTTTTCTCTTTTTCTAGAGGCTTCTTCCCTTACCCTTGTCCATTAGCCTTTCTGTCATGAAGTCATTCATGTTTACATGAAATACCATTTGGCTTCAGCGTCTCATCTAGACAGATGAAAAGAAAATGGGAGAGTACAGCACTTCTGACTCAGCTATTGGCAGGGTGCAAGGCTAAAAAGACCGATTTCCAAATATGTTCGTAGTGTTTTATAATCCTTACAACCAGAAATTGTACTGTTTCATGAGAACTCCCATCTGCAGAATATGAAGATGCCATATGGATGACATAAATAATTGGACTTATTTGGCATCCATGCATTAGGAAAATTGTTGCAGCCTTGGTCAGTGCTTATGCTGCTGTAAAAAAAAAAAAAAAAAAAAAAAAAAAAGGCATTAAGAATCACATATCCAAATGTGACCAAAATGCCTTGGAAATAATTTCTCCCTGATTGCTTTGAAGTTTGTAGCTAATGTACATTTTTACTTGTGAACTGTTATAATGCTCAGCTTTTTTGGTCATTTACAGCCTATTGAAACATGGTAAGACTTTCTAAATTCAGTGCTTTTTTCCGGAACGTGTCAAGAGTAAAAATTACAGGCTAATTAATGCTGTGTGCCCTTATGAGTTATTTTACTGTATTTAATGTAATGGTATTCCTGTTGGTATTAAAGAGTTACCAAGGCAATCACATGAGAGATGATGGATTAAAATAGTGCTGAATGACAATGTGAAAGTTACATCAGCATTTTTAAATAGCATGTAAGATTTCAGAGTTGAAGGAAAAAATCATTCTGAAATAGCATTTAACATCGTATGGTATCAAAACTGTAAATAGTACTTCACTGATGTTAGAGAGATTTCATAAAAACTGTAAACTGAATATTCTATTGAAATCTTGCATGTTTAATTGTAACTGTATCCTAACAGAAGTGGCAGAATTTGTATGTCTGTGTTTTTGTCTTTTATATAGTTGCTGATGAATGTTATGATTTGAAATGATGTGCAGTTTTGTTTTCTCTGCTCTCTGTTTATAGGAGGAGTTTGGCTACAATGCAGATACGCAGAAACTTCTAGCTAAAAATGGAGAGACTCTTCTCGGGGCTATTAACTTTTTTATTGCCAGTGTGAATACATTGGTGAATAAAACAATTGAGGATACATTATTGACTGTGAAACAATATGAAAGTGCCAGGTAGTTATTCTATGTCTAGCTATTTTCATTATAAATTAATATTCAGGGAAAAAAAAAAACTTTCTATCAGTTTAGTTCTTGTATTTGAGCAACTAACCTGTTAGCTGTAAGCCTTGTCATAATAACACAGTTCACATGTAACTGGGTTTTAACATTAGCCACCTCATTACATGTCTTCAAGTGTTTTGTAAATGTACTGTTGTAGGCGTAATTTTATTTCATAGCTTTATTTCTCTGACAAGTTAGTAGCTATTATTTCCCTGTCTGCTAGCTTAAGATGATTTTCTACACCAAATAACGTTTCAAGGTGAACCATTATATATCTAGCTATATTTTAATTAGTGAAAATCGTCTTTGAATGAAAGACAATTTATACTGAGCTTCTTTTGATGCCCAGTGCATGTAATTAACACTTCAGTTTTCATGTAGAAGTTGCAAGTTTGGTCTAGAAAGGGGAAAACAAAGAGGCATTTCTTAATGTGCAAATAATATATAGCCATCTATAATGGGTTTCCTGTCCTGGAGTTTACTTTACTCTGGATGTAGTGCGGAACTTTAAGCCAGTCTTCCTTCTGTGTGGTTGGAGTTGTGGTCTTTATTGATGCTTTGTTCTTGTCTGACTTTCAGGTTCATTAAAGAGTATATGTCTGTCTTATAATTTGCTGAAAGGTGTAGTTAATGCACCCTTATTTTTGCTATTTTTAAGTCAAAATTCCTGGTTTCTTGAGTTCTGAAGGTTTTTTCCTGCCTTTTTTCATTGCTGAAATTCTGATGCTAAAGCATTTTTATAAGCAAAGTAGCAAGTCATTGCTTTGATATTTAGTTTAACTTTCAAATGGCCTGAAAAGTATAATTAGCCTCAACGTGAAGAACTAAACTGAAATAAAAATCCATCCACACATTTGAGTCTTTTTCTTGAAACGTTATATAAAGTAAACTTATGGTTGGTCTTGTCAGTTATTCTGAACGTATGGTTCTTCCCTCCTAAAATACCTTTGTGATTTTTTCTTTTCATTCATTAAAGAAAGTGTTTTGTTGCTTTGACAAAGCAAATATATGTTTATATATAACCAGTCTTGACAGTGAGAGAATAGTTCACATTTATTTCTGTGCCTCGTCTTTCCTTTCTCCACTTGGACTTCAGTACTCATCAGTTTCCCACTCTTCTGTGAGTTCTTCATTCATCTGTTTCCTTTTTGGAACTAATTCCTAAATTCTTGAAATAATGAGAATCGGGAAAAGCGCTGTGAATTCTATAATTACTGTTACCTCAGATAATATGTATTCTTTTGGAGTGCTTGTGCCACCAGCCCCAAAGTCGTTTGTATTAACAGTTCTTAGTTCTGTTACTTCCAGTTTCAGAAATATCTATGTGAGAGAGAGTATTAAAGCCAGAAATAGATTTATTTGTTCCTTTAAAATTGGCATCCATCACATGTTGATACAGAACATTCCATTATTTTAAAACTAAAAGAAAACTATGGGAGGAAGAGCCCTGCTTTGGGCAGGGCTGTGCATGACCCTGACTGATTTCTGGCTATTGTCAGTTGCTGTACCTGGTCAAGTGCTCCATGGCACTGAAGGCACTGTACAAAGGAGCAGTACTGTACAGCAGGACAAGGGGAACGAAAAAAGAGAAAGCTTGTTACTGTGTTTGTTTCATCTATCTGTACTAATGTTTTAAAATATAAAACTAGCTTATCTGGCAAGGATCCATTGTTCAGTGGGCTTTTATGTAACAATGGAAAGCAGAAGAGAAATTCACTGATATCCTTACACTAATAATATTCCACAGGAGCTTTTCCCACCTAAAAATACTTTATACTGATGAATAGAAAACTTAACATGAAATAATTTTGTTAATGGAAATGTACTCAGTGTTTCTAAAGACAGTGCCAGATAGAATAAAATACAACTTCAGAGTATTCTAAAGACTATTTTGATATTTTTTTTTCATTAAAACAAGAGAAAAGGTATGACTGTGTATGTCTTTGTGTGATCTAACTAATGTCATTGTACCAGCTAACATGGAAGGATATCAAGGAGGCTTAGTTTTTAGTTGTGTTTTTTCTTTTTTTTGTTTTAGATAGTAATATATGAAGACTAGATGGGTCAATTAAAAAGTTATCAAGCAAGTGCCCGTGCATAACATGAGTTCCATTTTCACTAGCAGTGCCTAGGACAGAATTTCTTATTTAGTGCTTTTTATTGTTGGCACATGTTTACTTTTTAATTACTGTTGACTTGGGTAGATAAATTAGGAAATGCTTTGTCTTATTTACAAGCTGGTTATAACCATTGATTGCAGAATTAGCTTAAGTGTTTACTTGAGTAACTTAAGTGTTTATTGTTGAGACTCAGCTCCCTCAGTGGCTGTGTTGGTCCAGTGTGTCTGATTTCCTACGTAAATTAGATGGACCATCAGGAGGGTATAAATAAAATGTTTTCTTTCAGCTTTTCTGTTAGGGCAGGCAAATTCCAAGACAGTTCTGGGATAGTGACTGTAATTGGAACGTTTTAAAATCTTTGTGACACAGTTAGTGAGCCATTGCTCGCTTAAAGGAGATGTCCAGCTCTTAGTGCTTCGCTTGCTCTTGCTGAAAACTCTTATGACAAAAGACCAGTTCTGACTAGATAACTGAGTTAATAAGCAGAGATGTTCCAGGAAAGAACCTGATCACTGAGGCCAGCACATAGCAGGAACAGGCTGTCCAAGGAGGGCACCTGTCTCTGGAGGTGTTTAGGATCAGACTGTAGGGGCACTGGACAACCTGATCTAGTACTTGATCTAGTGGCTGGCAACTTTCTTGCATCAGGGGAGTAGGAAGTTGATGGTCCTTGAGGTCTCAAACCATTATATGATTTCATGAAAACAAAAGGTTGGAAGCATGTGGGTGAGACAGGAGCAGAAGGGCAAGGGTATTTGTTGAGGCTTTTTTATATGATGTACATAAGAGTGTTGTTTTTTCTTCCTCCTATTTATCTAGAAAATTGACAAGTTTCATCACTGTTTTCTGTACTTGACTGCTTTGTTAATTTGCTATTGTAATTGGCCCTATATGTGAAGTCTGTTTTGAGGCACTTAGCCTTTAGATTTTTTCCTACCCCTCTTTCTTCTCAGGATTGAATATGATGCTTATCGAACAGACCTGGAAGAACTGAATCTTGGCCCTCGTGATGCAAGCACTCTACCAAAGATTGAGCAATCACAACAGATGTTTCAAGTGCATAAAGAGAAATATGACAAAATGCGTAATGATGTATCTATCAAATTGAAATTTCTGGAAGAAAATAAGGTAAGCTACACCTTCTTCTAGTGTTGTATTACCTTTTGTCCTGGAAGTCTGCTTTGCTAAAAATGCTTTACCTATTTCATCTTAAAATACATTTTAATCTAGAAGTAGAGCAAGCCAAGAAAATAAACTTAATTTTCAGAATTAAGTAGAATTACCGGTGGATAATACAGTTTTAGAGGAGACAACTTTAAAAGCCCTTAATTAAGTTACTGCAATTACAGATGACAAATCTTATGGCAGTAAGTTTTTGGTTGATATGAGAGGCTTAATAGGTATTGACATGGAAGGAAAAATGTAATATCTAATCAATAAAGGCATATAACCCCTGATTTAAGATTACAGTAATATTTACGTCTAATAGTGCTGTCCTGGGGGATATGCATCACGAAATTAAAAAGAGCTGTGAAGAGGTTTCTTCAAAATGAAATTTACTGTAATAAAAAAAAAAAAAAAAAAACCCTGAATTGAAAATTGCAGCTTTCTGTAGTTAATGCCCTTACAGTTTCCTAATTCTAAACTTTTGAACTGTAGGCGTGAAGTTTTTGTCCCCAGAGGTGTTCATTCAAGCTGTGCCATTTCATCTCTGCCCTCCTAATGACAGGACTCTTACCCCCCCTCTTATTCTGCTTGCCAGACAAAAATACAGTTGTCAAACAGGGCACACTGTTAAACTGTGCTTTCTTTGGTAACGGTGTCCTTCTAAATTGTTTCTAATTAAATTTTTAAAAAGATGTTCTTTTGATATCTGAATTTTGTTCATTAATTAGATTGTTTAGGAAACACCAGTGAAGCTAGCTTCTTAGTGACGTTCTTGAGTTAAGATCAAGCATCCTGTTAACAGTTGCAGCCTATAAATTTCGTTTCTGTAAGACTGTTTTTTCCTTCCTACTGCTTCCCCTCCGTCCCTTCCCCCCCTTGCTTATCCCTCCCTCCCACCCAAAAAAAAAAAAGTGCAGAAGGGACTGTCACATGCTTAAACCTTTTTATCACTGGTTAACTCTTCTTTGTTTTGATATTGGAGATGTCAAAATATTTTCTAACGGGAGCATGTAACCTTGTTCCCAAATAAGACATAGGACTTTCAAATATTGGCTTATATATTTCTTTACTAAGAGTTTTACTGAAGTAAATTTCCTTTTGCTGTTTTCTACTTACTTTGTAGTATTTTATATAATATAAGTTGTATAGGTTTAACCTTAATTCTAAATCTGTGAGGTGTTTTTTTTTTTCTAGCTTGCATCCATTTCTGGGTTTTTGTTCTTCTGTTGCCCAAAATGTTTCCTAGGATTCAGTGGGAGGCAGTGGTTACCGAAGTGATATGTGTTTCTTCCCAGTCTGACATCTTAATTCCTTTGTCCATTACCAGTCATCTTTTGTCAATATCAATGTAGTGAAGCTCCTGTTAGACCTCATACTGATCCTTCAGCTAGTATTAGTGAATAGAAATGCCCAACTGATAACCATAATACCCATTATAGACACTATTTCTAATTTTTAGGCATATATGAAGTATATGTGACTGCTCTTAAGGTGATTACTTTTTATGTTGTAAGGATTATTAAATAGTATCATAGAATCACTCAGGTTGGAAAAAACCTCCAAGATCTTTGAGTCCAAGCACGACCTAACAATTAACTTGTATAATCAGTAAGTATTAAGTCTAACAGAAACGAACATCTAATTCTTATAATCAGAGATGTTCTACTTCTTCCAAAAGTATGTGATGGCAATTGCTATAATGCCTCATAATTTAAATACCTATAAATACAGCATGTGCCTGACTGGAAGGAGGAGGAGAAAGAGCCTGATAGGTATAGTTGCATATGTATTTGTAATACAGCTGCTTCAGCTGGTGGTGTGGTGCACTCACTTTTTAGGAGATGGCTTACACTGAAGACTATATAGGATGCAGAACTCCCAAAGGAGAGAGCAATTTTAATATTGCTGAGCTCTTACAGTGGTCCCAGCGAGGGAATTAGTGGTTATTCTGATACAACATCCCTAGTAACGTGGACTTCCCGATTATTTTGTGTGATCATCCATAGGCCCAAATTTAATTACTGCCCACTTAATAGAATGAGAGGTCAAAATAAAGGAAGATCTGGCATACAAAATACTGTTTTATTTGGGCTTTCACGAAGTACTTCATTTGTAGGCTGTTTTGGAAAACCCACCACATTGCAGGTTTATTAAACCAACTCAAATATAGTTATTTGAGTAGCTACATCAAACAAGGCATGGCATTACCAGACTTATGTTACAATATACTGGAATGTGCAAATCTCTAGTCATTATTATTAATACATTTTGTAAAGGCTCTGAATCAAGAGGTAAGTTGATATTTGTTCAGTAAGAATGGTATGATAGCAGTGTAAGTTTTCTGTTGCTGATTTTAAAGCCTTTGGAGTCTTCTATATGCTGATAAAGGATTTAGGACAGTAGAGTCTCAAGCTTAGCAGCCTATTTTTCTTTTCTTTTTTTTTTTTTTTTTTTTTTAACCTTTTGTGCTACAGAAAATAATGCGTTGAGAGGGAAGCATGTATGGAGGGCAGAAGACAATATTTTTACAACTTTAAATGTTTAGAATATCCAGGGGTGAAAACTCAATTCCAGCCTACATTATCTTGCATACAAAATGTAAAAGTTGCATCTTCTTAGACTACATCTATTTTTGTTTATCCACAAAGTTCAGTTTTACTTTGAGTCTTAAGTTTGCCAGGTGTATTATGGAGTGCTTACTCAGCTTTTAATTAGGAATAAATATGCATATAGTTTATTAAGAGGGAACAACAACTTAGATGAATTTCGACTGAAAAGTCACGATGGCTTTTGGACAGACACGTTAAGCACACATTGGAACCTGTATTCTAGCAACTGGAATTGTTCCCTGGAATGGATGCTACAACTTAGTGCTTAACACTTGTCCTTTAGTGCTGCAGTCTAGCAGCGACTTGTAGACTTGGAAGAAAGTGGTCTATTCCTCCTGTCTATGCCTCTTCCCTAGCTGTGCTTTCTCTGTGTTTACAAAAGTGTTTTTGCAGCTGTGCATAGATAGAGCTTAAAGCAAATACATTGTTGTCTGGTTAATTTTAATCTAGATCTGCTCCCTAATCCAACTGACTGCACAACTGCCTGAACGTTTTGCCAATGCAGGGCTAAGGAGAAAAATAGTGTGAACGTAGGAATTGGTGGGTGATTATGGAAATAGAGAAGACTGAAATTTTTTCAGGGAAATCTGGCCAGACTTGAACTTGGATTCTCGTATTCTAGTTCTCAGCTATGATTTCAGATTTTGTTTCAGAGGACATGAGGTGATCTGATATATTAGAGGTTCCTCTCTTGTCTCAGCTGACTGCTGCTTCATTGTAGAGCTTAAAGGAGAGGAGTTGGATATATACTTCTTAGTAGTGTGGCAGGATTTGCTTCTGTTTGGTTTGTTGGTATTTGTTGGGGGTTTTTTTGTTTGTTTTTAGAAATTTAGTGGAGATGCCACAGCTATTTTTTAAATTCATTTAGTAATCAGCTTCTGAAGAAGCAAGGAAGGAGCAGTAACATCTTGAGTGAGGGGTCTGGAGCACAGGCCTTATGAGGAGCGGTTAAGGGAGCTGGGATTGTTCAGTCTGGAGGACAGGCTCAGGTGAGACCTTATTGCTCTCTGTCATTACCTGAAGGGAGGTTGTAGTGAGAGAAGAGGCTGATCCCCAGCTCATGTAACTAGTGATAGGACTAGAGGGAATGGCCTTAACTTGTGCAAGGAGAGATTCACGCTGAACATTAGGAAATGCTGTTTTTCCTGAAAGAGTGGTCAGGTGCTGGAACGGGCTGCCCAGGAAGGTGGTGCAGTCACCAACCCTGGAGGTGTTCAAGGAACCTTTAGACTCTGTGTTGAGGGACATGATCCAGTGAGAATGTGGTGTAGGTGGATGGTTGAACTGGATGATCTTGTAGGTTTTTCCGACCTTGATGTTCTGTGAAGAGCATGCATAGCATTTTTTACTTCAACATTTTTCTTGAATGAAGGCAATAAACTAAATCGCATGAATCTCAAAAGAGCATGTTAGTTCAATAACCTGTAAAAGCACGGTCAACTGGTAGTCATAGACTAAACCAGACCCAGGGACAGTTTTACATCCCATCGTAATAGGAGTAGACTGTCCCTTTTGGACTGTGCTGATGTCTTCATCCCTTTGGGCTCAGTCAACCCCTCCGTTTCTTTGTTCTCTTCCATGTTGGCAAACTGGATGAAGTTTCCTGTAGGCTGGAAATGGGCCCAGGGTCACCAGCTGAAGTAGTGGGGTTCTTTGATGCAAGAGTAGGGCTGTGCTGGGCTGAGAATACATGGTAGGAAAAAAAGAACGAGTTTTGGCTACAGGGAAAAGCTGGGAAGATGCCTTTTCATCGTACTAGTCATTATTCATGTCTTTGAGGTTCTATACTGAAAATGTTCACAATTGTTTGACTTAGACTTGATCAGCTAGCTTGATGTTGTAGACTAGATAAGAAGTGAAACAGAGACGTCCTCCAGCTGCTCTTGTGCTCTTCTGCCTGCACTGTTCTTGCTGTGAGGAGCTTTGTGTTTCACAACTACTTTACACGTGTTACAATCAAAACAGTGACCAAGTGCTGCAAATCCTGCATTACCAGAGGTGGGCAAGAAGAAGTATTGTTGGGAAAGAGCATCAGTTGCTTTTGATTTAAGTGTACAAGAGCTAGAAAATACACTTCTTTGTATGAGGGGCGAATGAACTGTATATTTAAATGTGTTTATCAAGTGCTGTGCTTGGCTTGCAGGTAAGTATATTGAGCAGTAGCGTGGCATCTACTTTCAAAGAAGCAAGTATTCATAATCAATTATTTGGTAGGTGATAGCATCATCTGTTTAGTGAATTGCTTTCAGTCCATGTGTGGAGGCTGCTCTGAAAGCAGTGCCTCCTATTTTATTCTGTTAGCTCAGGGTGTCAGAGGCTGATGTTGGTGGTATGCAATTGAAGGTGAACCTTCCTGCCACTATCCCATTACATGCTGTTGCTGTGAGACAGATGGCAGCAGAGGGGCAGTCTGACAAAATGGTATCTGACAAAGAAATGCATATGGTACAAAGATGTGGCATTGAATTCCTGCGTGTGGAAAAAATGACACTCACTGAAATTCATTGACACTTGCTGAACATCCATGGAAATCAGACAGTGGATGTGAGCACAGTGAGGCGGTGGGTGGTGCGTTTTAGCAGTGGTGACAGCAACATGGAAGTCAAGCTGTGTTCCGGACAGTCATGCTGATTTTTATGAGTGCAGCATGCAGACTCTCGTTCATTGCTGTTGAAAATGCATTGCTAGTGGTGGTGACCATGTTGAAAAAATTTTTTGTAGCTGAGAATTTGCTCTGTTAAACAATGTTATTGTGCTCTTTGTATCTGTTGTAGTTTCCATGGAAATAAATAGGAGACAATACTCAGAGCCATGCATGTATGTTGAGTTGCTATTGACTGTTAAGTGTGCTTTATGAAAATACTGGATCACTTTAATGTTACAGAATTTTGTATTTGCGTTTTGTATATCTATTTTGAAACTCGCACTGAATCTTGTATGAAGTCTGAGCATCTCAAACAAGCCTATTTTGTTGTAATGGACATACGACAGACAGTGTCTGAATGTTCATCTTAACGAATGTCTGCCCTTGTCTGCAGGTGAAGGTCTTGCACAATCAGCTTGTCCTGTTCCACAATGCTATTGCAGCATACTTCGCTGGGAATCAAAAGCAGCTTGAACAGACACTTAAACAGTTTCACATCAAATTGAAAACTCCTGGAGCAGATGCTCCATCCTGGCTTGAAGAACAGTAATGAGAGAAGAGGACCCAATGTTAACCTAAAATCTTTAATAAGAATTAAGGGTTGGGGTTGGAGGACTGTTATAGTGATTCTTGCACAGAGAGCTTTAATTTTTTTTTTTCCCTTTTATGACATTGTAAAACTGAATTTGTTGGGAAAATGGGTAACTTTAAGGTAACTAAACATAATTTCTATCATTTCAAATACAGAGCACTCGTTTTGTACGTGAAGGCTGGTGATTACTTCTGTAGCTGGGATGGGGGGAGAGGGAGGGAGGGGAAAAAAAAAAACTATATGGATTTGCACTGACAAATTATGTTTGTGATTTCTGGTCATTTTGGTGGCTAGTCAGAATATTTCCAAATGGAGATTTACATGATTTGTACCAACATCTGGTATTTTATAGACAAATAGAGAAAACATCTTTAATAATTTTCATATGACTTTTAAAAAGGAGAGAGTTAAAAGAATATTTTGCAAATTAATAATATGAGGCTTGTATGCAGTACATGCGTGTAAGGCAGCAGTAGCGGTTGGCTCTGACTAGTACAATTGTAGCAGATGCCTTTTTAAAAGATGTACCTTTCCATTGTAGAGATAAAAAAAAAAAAAAAAAAAAAAACACTAAAGCAAGAATCACTGGCAGTCTGAGGCTTCTAAGCACACATCTTTGCTTTGCACCAAGTGGTTTGCTGAGTGAAGCCAACCATACGATGTACTAATCTCATTTAGAATCTTACTTTATGGGAAAAGAAAAAACAACCATACTAGCCTTAAATCACAGGTATGTGCCTTTTTATAAGATATTTTCAACCAGTGTACATGATGCAAAAACCCTTTTCATGTAAACAGTTTGTCGGTTCCCAGCATGGGAAAGGAGACTATAAATGCTGTTTATTTGTACTTAGAACAAGTAAAAGCTTTAGTTGACCTTCATGGGCAGTTAGAATTTTGAGTGAGGAGATTGGGCCAGTATGATTTTTCTGTTTAATTGAAAAGCATACTTCAGTAATGAGAGCAGTGTGGAGGATACTTCTTTTTAATTTCTCCGTCTGTAGTGTAGTCAAATGTAAAATTCTGTCAGTTTTATCATATCCATTTTAAATTCAGTTTATTGGAGTCCTCATTTGCACATGTTACGTTGCTTTGTGTTCTATGAAGTAAAACTGAAATACTTCAGATATGTTATTTACAACTGTGTGGATTGTATGATTTATGTACTGTATGTTCAAATGCCTTTCAGCTGACATTCTTAAAGTTTTCAGTGCTTAACAGAATTGTAATGTAACGGTAAATCAAACTTTTTAATCATTCCTCATTAAATTCTTGGCCTGACAGTCTTCTTTATGTTTTGATTCTGTCAGAATCTCTTGTAATAGTTAGTTTACATTCCCCAGAACGTATATCCGATGTGAATTTTGTATTCATATTAAAGATGTTTGCAGCCAAACTTCTTTGACTTGTGATGGTTAAGAGCGCAACCCAGCTTCTGCAGCATGAGTTCTATATTTGAGTTACCAGAAATTATTGGGTAGGGATGTATGCCAGTAGTAGGTTATAACAGCAATATTGTTCTTCTATTACAGAATGGTTTAATAGCATGCAAGTTGAAGTTGAATGCAAACTCAAGGAAACAAATCCTTCAGTATTCTTGATTTTATTTAAACTTATAGAGATAACTTCATCGTATTTTACAGCTTGAATGAAGTGCTGGTTTCCGGTTTTCTCTGAATCTTGGCGTGTATATGGTGTGATGGTACAAGCGAGAAGTTAACTGCATGATTGTGCAGCTCAGATGGAAAGTGCAGATAGCAGCATCAGTGATTAATGCAAACATAGTGATTACAATTGAAATATCAGCCCTTAGAAAGGGCTGTGGGAAAGACATACATAGGAGATATACAGGGATCATGTGCTTTGGGTTTCTTTGAAAGAGTAACGGTGGCTTAGAACTGCTGGAGTCTCTTCACCTGGAAGAAAAGGTTTGAAAAGAGAAATTACTCACAAAATTGGTGTACTGTTTAATAGCAGAGATAACAAAGAATGATTTCCATTTTGCTCAGTAAAGCAATTTTTGATTGCCTCAGAGAGGAAAATCTTGTGTTCAGCTGGTGGATAAGGTACTAGCAACTTCCTTTTATAGTATGTGAATGGAGGTGAAGAAAGTTCAAATATATTATTTTGTATGAATTGTACAAACTGATTTTCTACTCTAATGTGCAAGTAAGATGCTCTTTAGCATACTTCATGCTTTGTCAAGCCCTTACAAAGACCTCTGACTGCAAAATGTATCTATAGCTGTGTTTAAAGAGAAGTCTATGCAAGCAGAGCTCAGTAACACTATCATTAAAGTAACAGCTTGATTCTGATCTTTTTAACAGATTCTCCCAACAATTTTATCTCTGTTCTGTCTCTGCTTCAAAAAATGATCAAAGCAATATAAAAACAAGGCTAAACATCCCCCTCACCTTTTCTGTTTTGAACTGAACTGGAGGCATGTTCAGTATGTCTTCTCTGCTTCTCTGCCCCAGCTCTTTATTGTGGTGTTAGAACAATGATAAAGTATCATTATTCAGCATTCCATATCTGCAATTACCTTCAGATTTTTGTCTGGTTGTCTTTTTCATGCTGCGTACTTGATAAGGAGGTTGTACTAGTCACTGTTTTCTTCATTAGTTGTTAATCTTTTCATGTTTTGTGATCACCCTTACCCTAAATTTATCCTGCTACTGGGAGGAAAGTTTTGTGAAATTGGTTTCTTTTTTTTTTCTGTGATATGCACAGAGGTGACTTGCCTGTTTTACTTTTCTCTGTTCATCTTGTTGCTTGTCTTTGTAGGTGTAGATCACAGCTGCCATTGTGGCTGTGATAACATCTCTGAAGTGCAGGAATCTGACAGACAGAATAAACCTGAAACAAACAAACGTTCTGTTGGGGCTTCTTACTGTTCATGGCAGTGTAAATGCATTGGCTCAGTCAGGAACAGTTCTGCTGTCAGCGGTGTGCTCCCAGTTAATGGTACTCGACAAATGGTATGTCCTACTGTGCTAATTAAAATAATAATTACACACCTTACTGCCTTTTAAAGAATATTGAAGGTTGTAAATTCAAGTACTTGGGAATTAAATAGGACTAAAAACAAGCGTTGCCTGTTCAGTCTTGATTTGCCTTTCTTACCTATATGTATGCATCATGCTGGTTTTATGTGATAGGGGTAATTAATTGCAGGGCTTTGTTGCAAGAGGTTAACTTATCATGGTCGTTAATTTTGAAACCAAATAGAATATGGTTTCAATGCATCTGAAGTGTGGCAATTGGCTTTCTCTCCTGCTTTTGTCCAGGCACAGTGGGATTGAGGGCTTGTAGTGAAGGTAACTACCTCATTTGTTCAGTGTTCTTACAGCTTGATCACAAGCTGTTCTTACAGTTTAATCACAAAATTCATCTTGAGCCTACAGCATTAGAAGTTCTTCATGATCTGGAAAAAGCACAGGACTTACACAAGACTTTTTCTCCTCTAATGAAAAAGCAATGCGCTAACGTACCTTGAGAACTGTCTTGAGTATTCTATTCAACAGGTAATTTTAAAATATTGACACTGGGACTTCTGTTTGGAGAGTGCCAGCCCATCTCAACGCTATCTGTTTTAGGGAGGTGTGTTTGGTGCTTATTATAGGTGGGGCTCTTTGCTTTACCTGTTATTAAAGTTGCCCAATGCTTCCTACTGTGAAGACCTGTTCTCGGCTGCTTGTGCCTCTGAATTTTAGCCATGTGGGCAGAACTTTTGCAGGCTCTGTGTTCACATTTTTCTTGGGGAGGATTTTAAACTTAATTTGCTAACGTTGTGTTTCAAAAGCTGGAGGAAAATATCCGACAGGATGGAGGAAAGTTTAGGATTTAACTTCATATCTGGCCAAGCTCCTAATGCCCTGCGGGCGAAGCCTTGAGCTCCCGAGGAAGGTCAGTGCTGGTTCCGAGCGGAGTAGCAGCTCACCCTGCCACAGGGGGGCTGGGCTTCGTGTCGGAAAGCTGCGAGGGGCCTGCAGGGGCGAAGGCAGCTCTCACGTGCCTCCTCCTACCGCCATGGGCGGCAGCAGCGCTCAAGAAGGACGGTACAGCTGCACTGGATGTGCTTTTGTCCTCCCGCCGCTCCCGGCTCCGCTCCCCGTCCCTGCCGGGGCTCCTACGCGCCCCGCAGCCCGGCGCTTCCTGCCCGTGCGCGGATGGCAGCGGCTCCCCAGCGGTCCTCGCTTCCCCTCAGCCCGGCGGGATGCGGCGCCCCGGTCGCTCTGTCACCTGCCGCGGCCCCGCCCGCGCCGCGCGTGCGCGTAACCCCGCCCGCTGCCCTCGGCTGCGCTCCGGCGGCGCGATGCGAGGAGACGGCGGCGGGGCCGGCTGCGTGGTGCCGCCCGGCGGAGGTGAGCGGGCCGGGGCCGCGCGGCGGGG